ACTATTCTGGTCTTTTCGGAAGGATGAGGACTGGAGGTACATGAGAAACATTTTAGCTTATGGAATTTTAACATGGGCATAAAATATGGGGATATTTTAGCTGGCCTCTCCAGCAGCAAGCGAGAACCCACTGCACTGCAATCTCATCATCTAAAATGTCACTGGCTCTCTCCGCCCCTGTTCGGATGATTTAATGTCCCTTGTCCTTAAGTAGCTCTCCACTGTTCAGTTCGCACAAAACAAGACTCAATTCTTAAGCACCTGCAATTTTCTACCCAGCATCACTTATGTTGTTATTCCAGTAATATGCTTTTTGATATCACCTGGTAATAATATCATTTGCAGCCCTGCACTGTGTGCAGGTTATGAATGACAGGAAAGTATCCCATAAAGCTATTTGTTATGTTTTTTTTTCTTCTTCTTTTCTATAGGAGGCTGGCAAAATCCACACTTTTGTTGATTCCACTCTTTGGGATAAACTTCATCATATTCGCTTTCATTCCTGAGAACATAAAAACTGAGCTAAGGCTTGTGTTTGACCTCATTCTTGGGTCATTTCAGGTACGTCTAAAGATTCACTGAGAATAATCATCTGAGGATAATCACTCAAACTAGTCGCTAAAAAAAAAAAGTAGAGCCCAAATATCAGTAGTTGCCAGTGACAGGAAATGCTCTCAAGCTAATCGTAGCACTGTTGTTCAGATAGCAGAATAGTTTAATGATGTCTGGTAGAACTGCTCAGGGCTCCTCAAACAGTCTCCATAGAGAATCTCTCTCTCACACACTTTAGCTATTGGCCATTGTTTTTTTTTAATGGCATAATTGGGTGTTTCCTCAACTGTGGCCACTTTTGCCCTGTGGATGTTTAGAAAATAAACTCTCTTTTAAACACTTTTCACATTCTCACTAGTTTATTCAATTTGATTTTTAAGGTCTTGGACATTTCCACCACTTTGCGAATGATTTATTGTGTTTACATTTTGTGTTGGAAATTGGTGAAAAATTATATTTTAAACACTTTTTTTAATTAAAATGTTTGCTCATTTGTCATGCTAAGGCATTTTAAACTAGCACATTTTTGTATCCTAAATACGAACAATAACACAATATTTTCACAATTTTTTGCATTAATAGAGCTTGATTAGAAAAGACAATTAATGTTAGTTAATGACAATTAAATAACAATGGACAATTCATTTGTTGCAGTATTTATTCATCTTTGTTTATTTTAGTTAATAAAAATAATGTGGTTAGCTAATGTTAACAAATGGAACCTTACTGTAAAAAGTTACCAATTTTGTTTTATGAAAATGTTTATTTCTCCTCATTAGATAAATACATTAACTTTTCAGAAAACTTTATTAGGGTAAAAAACCAATTGCCACAACTGTAGTCAGAGAGTCGTTAATTTTGAATATGTATTTAAACCATTTCCATACAATAAATATTTATATTATTTAATATTAAATTATTTATGAAAAAAAAAACAATTCCCTATGATCTGAATATTAACTATCTGGGTCTGGGAAAAGAGTAAAACAATAAAATCTATTTTAAAAATTTTGACAAAAATGGCAAAAAAAGGTGGGGGGAAATATGAAGGCATGATAGAAGGTTTTCAAGACAGTTTCAAACGTGACCTTCATGTAACAAAATGGAAAAAAATCTGTTAGTTTGAATAAAAAAACTTTCATAAGCAGAGCCACCAGAATGGCTGGCATGAATTCAGGAAGGGTTTGTCCCATATTTTTTAGGCCACAGTCATACTAGACAGTCTGGTAGGAATCTCTAGACATCTAGCATTACACATTCCCGTGCGTAATGCTTTGAATTAATGACCTTGTAATACTTTCATTGTACCTACAGTGGTATATGAGTAAGTTGCTTTCACTTGTTTTAACAGGGTTTTGTGGTTGCTGTACTCTACTGTTTCATGAATGGAGAGGTAAGGCACGGATGGATGGATAAACAGACAGAATCTTTAGGTGCACTCAGTCACAGCTGATCAGAAGCCTCTTCCTATATTGAAGTTTCATTAAAAGCTAAAGCCCTGGAAGCCTGTAAGTGTCTTAGATTCTGCTAGCTCACACAGGCTGCAAATAGCTCTAGACATACTGGCAAAGGAGGCCTATTACTTTGATATATGCATTGATGTTCACAGCATCTTGGGCCTTTTTGCTTGTAGTACAGATTAAATAAAGGGGTCACAGGTGCAGACTTTATTCCAGGTGCATTCAAATAATTTCACGTGTTTGTGCCCCACAGATGAAGTTTAACAACTAGTGTACAAACTTAAACTGATTTCTATGTGTAAAATGATCCTGTCTTACTATAAAAAATCAACCCAGGCTCACTGGAAATAAGTGACTACATTTGTGCAAAACTTGAAATACATCACATTTCACTGCACTTTTCAGGTGAACACTAGAGGCAGTAAAACAACTTTTGTTCCTTTTCACACAAATTATAATTACAGTGACAGATTGATAAATAAATAAATATTTTTGCTCTGTTCCTTGCACGATACTATGTTCCTATCTCAAAATACTTTTACCATAGTGCGTGATTTGTAAACTAATAGAGTTTGATGTTTGCATCGCATAACCAGCTCCACATATATGACTTTTCTGATGAAGTAAACTTGTTCGATAACTCACCTGATACATCATTGCACTTTCAATGTGGAGCCAGTATAAGTAAGAATAGTAGACTAGTAAAGAATACTAGATGCAAGCTAAAATGGCACGGTTGCTTCCTTCTGCAAATGCGTTGTATCTCATGCTGGCTTTAATTAACACTATTGGTTGTTTTTAGGGTAGGACTTATTGTAGCATTATTTTCAAACGCGACAGATCATTAATCATTTAGGGTCACCAGACATTTAGGGCCAGATTTACTAAATGCTTGCACCAGTGCAAACCCTCTTTTGGCATTAAAAAAGTACTGTCAGGATGTCCTAAAGACGTGCAGTGAAAAATAGTGATGAAAAGGTGTGGACAGTCAATTTTGCGGCTGACCTTATTGCATATGCATTTGTGGGAGTTTCCCTTCAGACGCAAAATTTATGAGAGGAATGTATTTAAATAAATCATGCAACATGATTTACTAAGGTTTGCAGTAGTCAATTTACTGGTATTTGCGCCATTATGTACTGCCCAAGAAAAGTGCGTCTTAACTCAATTTACACTTGAATCACTTTCAAAACATCTTTTCTCCAGCTGATCAACGGTAAAAACATTGGCAGCCAGAATCCCAAAAGCTGAACACACAATTTACCACCAGTCAATAGAGATTTCACTTTAAAACTGCTGTGCTACAAGCAATGCAGTATCTTTTTGCAAAAAAGCATGCTTTTTTTCATGACACTGGGCTTTTTAATAAACCAACATTTGCAATGGAGGAAAAATTAAATCGCATGTAGCGCCTTATGTGGATGTCACCTTAAACATTGTGTAGCGAAAGTAGACAAAGTGTACTTCAAGTTTTGCAGAAATACAGTCAGAGTCAAGCATTTCCAGTGAGCCTGGGTTGCATAAAACCCAGTTGCAACCATTTTTACTTCCTTAATGTTCCTTATTTACAGAGTTACGTAATCTAACTTGTAGAGTTTTTGTACAAAACTGTAGAGCATGAATACGTTTTATCCACCATCAATTGATTAGACTGGATCTTGTCTGGCTCTCAGGTCCAAGCTGAGATCAAGAGGAAATGGAGGCGATGGCACCTTGAAAGGTTTCTGGGTCCTGACACCAAATACCAGCACCCATCCATGGGCAGCAATGGTAACAACTTCAGCACGCAGATCTCCATGCTGACTCGCTGCAGCCCCAAGACTCGCCGTGCATCCGCATGTCAAGATGAGACGTCCATCACAGTCTAACTTAGCATCTACAACGATGGGTTATGGTCACCAGAATGAGGCTGTAAAGGGCATGAAGACACTCGGGAAGTGTCCTAGTGAAATTCAGTTCTGAATTTCAGACTGTATTATAATATTTGGAGATATACTAAACCTTACATTTGCTGAACATAGCACAATTTGATGCCATAGGAGTCTTTAATGAGGTTCTTGTATGAAAAACATGATATTGGACAGGCAATGATCAACTTCTGCAACACATAAAACCTGTAAATAAAGCCACAGTGATCTTCTGGAGAGCAGCGAGATTGCAGTTTTGCCGTCATTTTGTGCCCGACTCAGATCTGCAGGGACATTGAAGCAACAGCATCATCAAGAATGTCTGATGATACGCTGTAGGAAAAAGAGGTTAGGGATTCTTTACCTGGACTGCACTTATGTATTTTGCTTATGAGGCAAGTTAAAAAACAAAAAGGCAACCAAAAGTGGATTGTTGAATATCCAATATATGGAGATATACTGTAGAGACCAAATGTGATGTTTCTTCGAAACATGTTGTTCATATTTTTTTTTTGGAATGATGTTTTCAGACCTGTGTGAGTGTGTGTGTGTGTTTAGGCACATTTGGAAGCCGAATGCCCTTCTCTGCACTATCATTCCAGATCAGTCATCCCAGCGGTGTCAACATTCATTTTGCATGCTTGTTTGAGTGTCATTGTGCCATGTATCGCCGTGAATTGATGGTTTAATGGTCTAATGTCAAATCCTTTTGTGCAAAGAACAAACTATCAATTGTGAGATCAACGATGACAAGGATGGCACTGTTGGAGCTTGATAGAACTGTCATAGGCTTTTACAATGCTTATTATTAATCTTAAGGAATAATACATGTCGACCAATTTATGCTTAACAATGGAATTAGTACTTATGTGCATTGTAAATCTTTGCAGTAATGCTAATGCTGTAAACTTACCATTTTCTTTGTACTGTGACACTTTTTTTTTTTTTTACGTCCTTTGGTTTCAGTGGTAACTTGCAGTGCTTGTTCAAGCAGAAGGATTTTTGTGTTTATGTACAAGCTAAAGGGAAATGAAAAAGCAGGCTGCCCTGTCACACCAATGTTCTTGTCTCACAGTTTTTCTCATTGAGATGGACTTGCAGCCAGATCACGGCCTGTGAAGTCCCGGAAAGCGACTCGAACTGGGTCAGTGCCACGTAAAGGTAGTTCTGGATTGTGGTTTCTGTTTCCAGTGGAGTGTAAAAAGTCATGTACTGTCACATCTGATAGAACATATAAAGGGAATGTACACCAAATGGGACTTCTTGCAAAGGTTATAGTAATATATTTAATGAAAAGAGTTTAAAGCCTCAAATCACTGCCCAATATTGTCCGATGACATATGTTTTATTTTAAATGTGTGATTAGCCAGATTACCTCTAATCTACCACAATAAAGAACGTATATTCTTATAAAAAAATGTTAAATAAAATGTTGTAATTCTCAATATATAAAAGATAGCTAGCAGTGTACTTGGTGAACTTTATATAAATGCATATAGGAAAAGGTGCCTATTTTAATCATTTGCGCTGTATAGGCTATAGGCTGTCTGGTTTTGGAACAATGTGTAGATATGCTGTTTGTTGTATATTAATTTAGGTGAAGCATAATATGTAAGTGCACAGCAGAAAAACTGGATGTTGTGTATATTAACTGTGTATCTGTGCTGTGAAAGTGAGTAATATGTGTCCATACCGCATGCAACACATATGGTGCATTTCAAGTAATAAATTCACAAAAAGTATGACCCAAATTCTTTACAGTCATGTGTACATGTGAATATTTTTGTATCCACATTTAAATAAGCTTGATACATGGTATATGTATTTTTGTAACATTTGGGACCATTTTCCACTGTTGTTTGAATGTTCACGATCAACGATTTTAAATAAACTACTTGAGCTGTATATTTACATTGCTCAGAAATGACACACTTGAATATAAATGACAAAAGAAATGCTTATCCATTGGGTTACAACAGACACTCTCATATCAAATCCTTTCTATTTTCCATCTGCCTTCAAGAAAACCAAGAATAAGCCCTGTGTCACAGTCCTTTTTCCCCAGAGAGATTCAGCTAAATAAATTATTTGCTGTGTAAATTTCACTCTACTAAAATGCACAGCTTCCTCTCCGAGCCTGTCAAATCCCAGACATCCTTTGAAGAACCATTCTGCCTTTGCCTTCTGGTAAGCACTGAATGAAATTAAGGGCATAGAAGCAAATGAAGCAAACACCAAAACACATGCTTCTACGTTTAGAGGCTTTTGTCTAGTTGTAGATAATTGCAGCAATCCATTGTGCCAACTCGATGTCAATCCTGCAAGAAACTGGACTTTTTCCTTATCTCTATTGTCCTTGCCATTCAGCAAAACATGAGGAATCAACCAATATAAACAAGTTAATGTGGGTTATGACATGCACTTTAAAATTCTTTAAACTTAAAAGACCCGAAGACCTCAAATCTGGAGACCACAGGTCTGGAAAAACAATGCTAGAAGCAAATAAGAAAATGCCACCAACTTAAACAGGCTTAACTTTTTAAAAGAGAGAAGATAATTCCAATATCTTTTGTTAATAATGTCAAAGGCAGAGCATCCTGTTCGACTATATATTATATAATATTTTGTCACAAATTCATGTTACTTGCTAGTAAAATCCGCAAAGCTTGTTTTGCACGGAAAACATTATAGGTGGGCCATGGAAAAAATTAATTCATAAAAAAATTTGAACTTGACTCGAACACAAACCCAAAAAGCAAAACTCAAATTTGTATTAAATTGTTTTTGTATTCATACTAAAATGAGCTCGGGTGTCATTTGATCATTTTTGGACTATGTTTTCTGTGAATCCAATTAAAGTCACACCATAACGTGGTTACATTATGACACACGTATACATCAGCAGGGGTCTGACACGAAAGAACCATTTCCAATAACTCATCATCAGACACTGGCTGAGAACATTATGAATTGCCAAAGTAAAACACTCAAAACCCATACTCCTGTCAGCAATGGAGGGAAATTCATTTTCTCTGTGCAGTTTCCCCTCATTGTCAGCTGGTCCTGTTTTTTTTACATGACCATTCTTCTAATTACTCTTTTAAAGGCCACTCTCAAAGGTCTCTGCTTCGGTTTAGGCATAAATGCAGTGACAACATCTCACAGATAATGTTACAGTCTCTATGTTCACCCGTAAATGACAATGTGCTCACCCTCAGGCCATATAGAGAGTTTGTTTTTTCATCTGAACAGATTTGGAGAAATTTAGCATTACATCGCTTGATCACCAGTGGATCCTCTGCAATGAATGGGTGCCATCAGAATGAGAGTTCAAACAGCTGATAAAAAATATCAAAATAATCCACAAGTAATCCACACGACTCCAGTCAACCAATTAATGTCTTGTGATTTATCTACATAAACTTATCTACATCTTGGATGGCCTGGTGGTGACTACATTTTCTGCAAATGTTCTTTTTTTTTTTTGGCAGGAAATATGTTGTTGATGTTCCTTGAATATATATTTTCCTCATTCATTTAGAATTTTATTAAAATAAGCCTCAAACCTGGCACCTACTTAACTGAATTCAATAAATTGTAAAAAGAGCAGAGCAGAACCTGCAACTGAGCTATTTCTGCCTGATCAAACAATTAAATGAAGCGTATAGTGTTAGTTCTGGCAGGTCACGTGAGTTAAGCTTGCATCGGCTGACTCTCAGCTGATCCACATCTACCTACAGGAACATGACGCCTATCATGACATTCCTATTTAAGGTCTATTCAGTATTATTCAGCAGATTTATCTCTTGCTCAGGAGCAAATTACCCTCCTCCATCCCCAACTCCTCCTTTCGCCACAGTCAGGACTTGGCTTTCTGATATTTCTCATTGAATCAGACTCCTTTTTACACTTAAATATTATTAAGAACATTATTGATATCTGAAATATTATTAAGAACATTATTGATATCTGCTTTGTTCTGTTCTGTTTACCATTGGGGGTGGGGGTGGGTATCAGTCATTTTGACGATAGTGGTCCTGACAGAAATTTAGTTTGGTTGATCCAAAGGATTCAGCGACATTTTTTCAGTTTGTTATGTAGATTTATTGCAGCTTTGTTTTACACGATTACTGGAACATATGCAAATAAGCTAATGAATAATGCCAGTGACAAATACCTTATTCTATGCCAACGAGCCTAGCCTAAATTGAAAATGTGTTAACAGAAGTCTTTTATAATAAAACAGAAAGTATTTTGTCATTCTTTTGGATGCTCTTTTTGCTGCTTTCCACATAAGGGCTGTTAACAGGTGCCTAGCTGCAGGCCACATTTCAGTATTCATGTCCATTGTTAAATATTCATGAGCCAAAGTACCCATGGATGTTCAGCACAACCACTGTTCAACAAGTTTCAGCTTTGAGCTGAACCAAACCTGCTTTAAGAATCCCAAATCTGTGCCGTTGTATTGTTGGCTTGGCTCGACCTGATATTGTAAGAAATGGCCCCCATTGGGTGCCCTCCGTGTGAAATAAATGCAGCATATAACAGTGTTCAGTGGCTTCCATGCAGTAAAAGCATTACATATAAGAAAAAACTCCAGCAGAAATGGGAGATGATCTGGTAATATGTTTGAGCCAGTGATTTTTCACCCTCACAGACGTGATTGGGAACCGTGACTGGAGCTCGACCTGTCAGACAGTATCCAATCAGAGAAAGCTTGACTTGCCTCAGGCTCCGTGGTGTTGATAAGATGCATTTAAGTCCCACACACACACCTGAAACGGCACTTTTTGTTGCTTTATCGTCTCAGTATACGCAGCAGGTTTTTTAGACACCATGTAAAGCAAAATATGTCCAGTTTTTAAAACCGCTTATCTCGCTTTTTTTAAATAACAAGTCACCATTCAGTGTGAACGATCATGTTCTTGATTTCTACTGCATTCTACTTCAATTATTTTTATATGTAAACATCCCTTAAGTAAATTAACCATGGTTTTATTATAGTAAAAGTGTAGTAACCATGTTTTTTGGCAGATTGATTACCATTTGTATAACCACAGTTTTATTACAAATACCATGGTTAAGCTCTGGTTATTAGGCCTATAGCAAAACCATGGTTAATTTGTGATAACCATAGTTTAACTAGCCTACAATAGCCATGTTTTTTATAAGGGATGCGTTATAGATGAATGTATGTGTCTTGAAAGTTTATAGCTTTTAAACTTTTAAAAACACATCTAGAGACCGTGTGTTCTTTTCCATTCTGTGTTCTGTGTGACTGTATAGCTTTGCTGATTCCTGTACAAGTCCTGTAATATTCTCCTCAGATGTTTGACTCTGCTGCTGTTTAACCTGTGAACATGGGCTCTACTATTTGTCTTGGTTGTAAATTGTGCGCTGAACACCTGAAAACTTTTTGTTGCTTTATCGTCTCAGTATACGCAGCAGGTTTTTTAGACACCATGTAAAGCAAAATATGTCCAGTTTTTAAAACCGCTTATCTCGCTTTAACAAGTATAAATAACAAGTCACCATTCAGTGTGAACGATCATGTTCTTGATTTCTACTGCATTCTACTTCAATTATTTTTATATGTAAACATCCCTTAAGTAAATTAACCATGGTTTTATTATAGTAAAAGTGTAGTAACCATGTTTTTTGGCAGATTGATTACCATTTGTATAACCACAGTTTTATTACAAATACCATGGTTAAGCTCTGGTTATTAGGCCTATAGCAAAACCATGGTTAATTTGTGATAACCATAGTTTAACTAGCCTACAATAGCCATGTTTTTTATAAGGGATGCGTTATAGATGAATGTATGTGTCTTGAAAGTTTATAGCTTTTAAACTTTTAAAAACACATCTAGAGACCGTGTGTTCTTTTCCATTCTGTGTTCTGTGTGACTGTATAGCTTTGCTGATTCCTGTACAAGTCCTGTAATATTCTCCTCAGATGTTTGACTCTGCTGCTGTTTAACCTGTGAACATGGGCTCTACTATTTGTCTTGGTTGTAAATTGTGCGCTGAACCAATTATAAGCTTCAAAGCCTTCTTTCATAGCCGAGAAAACTTTGCACAGTGTAGGACTGTGTATATTATGAGTCAAGAAAATATTTGATTTGTTTATGTGTTATGCTGGCCATTCATTCACACAAAGGCTTTTTGGGATTTTCTCATGTTTTGCTATTCAAAGCCAAGGTTGTGGTTCCAGTCCAC